TTGAGTCTGACTTCATTCTGATCCTTTATCACTGTGAAGCAGCAGCTGACGTTTCCCTGTCCTTATTTTCACAATGAAATGTAAGTTAGTGTTTTCTGCATGAGCTTAAAAGTTAAGCAAAATCAGAAGTTGTGATGAAAGAAGCTATTTTCATCGATTGGATCTGAATGTAGACCAAATCCAGGGGGAGTCTGTACATTGTCACTGCTAATTTTGAATTTCATAAAAAATGGCCCAAAGAGAGGTAAAGTATTTATGGTCCAGTTTCTAGTTCAAATATCTTAGTAGAATTGAAATAAGACAAAAGTAACTTTAAAATGACTTTTCAGCAAGGCCAGGATTCCTTCATATTAATGAAAACGCACTCGTTCATTAATATGAAGATAATTTCACTTATAACAAAACATTTTTTCTGTTATGAGTGAAATAATCTGCCAGTGTAACTAGTGCTTTTTTATTAATATTAAGGAATTGACTGAAAACAAGCCCCATATCTTGCTGAAAAGTTATTTTAAAGTTAGTTTTGTCTTATTTCAAATGTCCTAAGATATTTGTTCTAGAAAACAGAGATTTTGTCCTTTTGCAGTGTAAAGAGGAAGACTTTTTTACTTACCAATTTTTGTGACTTTCCATTTCATCAAAACAATTAGGTCCAAATTGTATAAGGTTTGGACACTTCTGGACCACCTCTGTGAGAAACAGCAAAGGTTTTATTGTAAATTCATTGCGAAAAGAATTTTAACATTTCCCACTTGCGTTTCTAACTGGACGTCTGTTTAACCGGTGCAGGTTTCTGATCCGACATCTGCTGCAGTTCCTCGTTTCTCTCCTCGGTTTCTCTTTTGTTCGCCGGCAGACGGCCGCCCACCCTGAGCCTGCTTCTGTCAGAGTTTACAGATTTGATCATAGCATGTTCGCCACCCTGAGAAGACAAATGTTCATAATTTTCGCAGCATATATATAAAAATTGATTTCTGCACAGATGTTATTTTGGCTCCAGCCATAAATTTTCTGCAGAAAAACTTTGTTCTTTCTGCTTCTAGACCAATGATAAAATCTGTTGGAGGGAAGAATTGCTCTTCCTCTAGAACCGAAATGAGTTTGTCATGAAAATAAAGACAGAATATTGGCTGCTAGAAAGATAAATTGTGTTATTTGTTAAAGTCTTGCTTGTTTTAAAACACATCTACATGATCAGCTTCAGCAATAAAAACTCCTCCCTTTTCTCCTTTTCCTTTAAAAATAACGCACAGTTTGAAATGCGAGATTATTATGTTGTAATAAACCAGTAGATGATTTCCTCAAAAGCTTTAAAACCTCCCTGAAGCTCAGATTGTGTGTGTATATTCATCAAAGTCCGTCCCAGCAGAACGCCGCTGATGTGAGACCTGTAATTAGCTCCCCATGCTGCCCAGCTCATAATGACCCTCATTCATCAGGAGACGCTCTCCTCTGGACTGATGCGCAGACGGAGGGGGTGGGTTCAGGTGAATCAGGGAGAAAACGACGACTCCCGGAGGAAACATCAACCCTGATTCAAGAAAAAAAAAACACTGCAACTTTCCAGTGAAACATGTTTTATCACAAGTAGAAAAAAAAGTGAAAATCTTCTTCCCTGTTTTCCCTCAAGTGGAGCCTGATGCTCTGATCATGGGCCATTAAATACATAAATACTTTATTTATCTGATTAACATGCATCCAAGTAAAATTGTGTGTGCTTAAAAATGTAATTTCTTGGAAGTTAGCAGAAAAAAATTAAATAATATAAGTTAAATAATACAGCATGAGGTAAAGTTCTATGTAGTGGCATTTGTATCTTGACCTGCTGACATGTCTGATGCTGGAAGATAAAAATTGGTTGTTTTAGTTGCATTTTCTTCTGATTAAATACATGTGGCAACATTTAGCATGCTAACAAAGTGAGGATTTATTATTCGTGTTTGATTCATGAGAAGATTAAGTAAAACCCCTTTTTACCTTCTTTCAGTAACTACACAAAATAAGCAAAGATTATTTGTTTTAAAAGGAAAAAATATCCCGTCAGTTTTGCTGCACTGAAATGAGAAAATACTGGAAGCATGTTGACTAAATCTTGACTCTAAACATTATGATTCAGCACCGCCATCAATCATCATGGCAGTGATTAGGATGTGGGTAAACTGTTTCTCTCTGATGTGAAGCGGAGAGGAAGCCATGACGGTTGTTTCTGGGAGAGCAGTGGCATCCTGACTGAAAGGCTGTCGGTTTAATTCCAGCTTCTCTGTGTCAAGATGTTGGTGGGAAAGACACTGAACCCCATGTTGTCCACAATCTACATAACAGGCAGGCGTATTCAGTAAATGAGCTTTGGTTGGTTAAGATGTTTAAATTATATCTTTATTTTACCGGACAAATGTCATATTACAACTGTAGCTTGGCAAAAAGTAAAAATGACACAATTTAGACAATGCAAACGTAAAAATAATAAATAAACTGCAGCATTTAGAAGAACAGGATACACACGGAAAAGATGAAAATGCCCAGTTTGTGGATTTTTCTGTAGATCTTTGCAGGATAGTGAAAGGATAACCAGCCAGATGCAGAAGTTTTACAAAACGTTAACAGAATCAAGTTTGCAGTTTGACCGTTAAACATAGAGGATGTAAAAGAAAAACCAAAGAGTTTTTAGTATCAATGATCTACTAAATAATATGAAGTTTATGGAGCAAATCTTTGGGTGCTGATCTGTAAAAGACATCATCATTATAATCAAACACAGGAAGAGACGGGCAGTGGCACCAAAGTTTTCATTGCAGATGAAATGACAGAGGAACACTTTCTATAGAGGAAGTTGATGTTTGATTTGATGTCAGTCTTCAAATTATCAATATTTTTCTTCTGAAAGAAAAACATTTAGTCTATCTAACATTAATGATGCAGATTCATGGTGATACATGCAGAAGTTGATGGTGCATCTCCTTTTTTTCCCCAAAGCAAATGACTTTGCGCTTAGAAATGCTTTCTTAGCACGCAGACTGGAAGTGACCAGATAGATTCCGGCAAAACTAATCAGAATTTATAACAGGAGAGTGGAGTACAGGACTGAGTCATCAGCAGAAAGGTGAATATACAAATTTACAACATGATTTGCTGTGTCAGAAGTGCAGAAAAGAGCAGGACCAAGTATTGACCCCTGTGGGACTAAAAACAATAATACTCTAAATAAAAACATCTTCCATTTTCATCTGCATGTCATTTCTAGATCCACTTCCTTCTGGTTGGACGCCCAGCTGGAAGACGCTCTGCACCGTCCGGCTTACTAAGGGCAACGAAGCACAGAGCGGTAAGTCACCAGCGGTTTTTACTGCCTGTTCTGCCCAGAGTTTATGGGATCTTATCAATTAGCATGCTCACTGCTGTAAACAGGCCGGTCGCTTTGTGTGCTGTCAGCTTCATGCATTACTGCCTTGTTAAAATCAGACGAATGCACTTTAAAGAGTCAGATGATAAAAAACGGAAGCAGCAGAGATACTGTTTGGTCTGGCACCAGTTCAGTCTGGTCCCTGGATGTGAAAAGGCATTTAAAGCAGCTACACTACACTACTACAGCTACATTATGTTTATTCGTCAGAGAAATGTTTCATTCAATTTTGGCTGTAAGGTTGAAATTAATGCAAAATGAACTCTAATAAGCATAAATGTTGAGGTCTGGACTTTGACTGGGCCATTCTAACTCACAAATAGGCTTTTATTGTCTCCGCTATAATAAATAATGTTGCTTGTTTGAGGTAAAACTTCAGCATTTCAATGCAGTTTCCTGTCACCTCAGACCAGATGGACAAAATCATCCCGTAGCATGATGCTACCACCACCATGTGTCTCAGAGGGATTCAGTTCTTTCCCACCACATCCTTTCACATTAAGAAAAAAAAATTCAGTTTTGGACTCATCTTAATAAAACGTCTTTAACTGCAAACTGAACTGAGCTTCAGGGAAAAAATGGTGTTTGAGACCGAAGTTCAGTAGTTATAGGAAGGCTTTGCGATGTCTCTTTAAGAAAGTACCGCTCTTTCAGGACGTCATCGAAACCCTTTAACAACTTTTTCACTAACATTGCACAACATCATGATGTGCAGTTCCACCAAGTGTTTGCTAATTGCTGCTGGCTAGTCTGAAGGAGCTGTGTTGGGGAAGGGCTGCTCTGTGAGGCAGAAGTTTGGAGACTGCAGCTCTGAGAAGGAGCTTTGGGGGAAAGGCGGTGAGACAGAGTGGTTGGCATGGAGATTAAAAGATGCATAAAAGAGTCAAAGCAACACTTTGTATGTTTTTGGTGAGGAAATGACACAATAGCATGATGCAAAGCTAAAAAAAAAACGTAATACTTCCACTTTAAAGCTCTGTGTGCCTCATTCCGTTTTCTATCTTTGCGAGTGAAACCATGAAGAACAGTTTGTTATGTGAGAGGAACACAAGGCTGTGCTCTCTGAGGCTGCTTGTGTTTGTGCATACAGCAGAGAAGGAGCCTGACAGACAGAACAAACAGTGTTAGCCTTTAACCTCCCAGCAGTCAGCGGGTTCACCGGTGAGCTCATGTGATTTCTTACCTCTGTCTGCCTGGGAAGCGGAGCACCGCATGCGGTCTCCGCCTCTGGATGGAAAACCCAACAACTTCTCCGTGTCTGTGCGATCTGAGCTTCCCCTGGCAGGAGGCGGGCTGACGCCTTCTCGGACTGACAGCAGCCGGGTGTAATATTTAGAAGTTTAACAGCGGTGTCGTCATGTGCGCTGCAGCAGCGCGCTGCAGAGAGAGCAGCCAAAAACCTGGCAAACATTACCTGATGGGTGAACTCACACCTTCCTGCGGGTCGGGTTTGGCTCTTTCTGCGCGCTGGATGTCCTGAAAACATCTCGCTGGTGACACGGTGTTAACAGCGCTTATAGTTATGGTACCTCACAATTAATTGGCTGATGATGAGGCTAGTTATGATGTAATCTTTCTCGCTCCCTCTTCCTTGCACTCAGCTACAGCCCCCTCCCTTTCTTTCCTGTTTCCCCACCTCTTTCCCTGTCTTTCTCTCCTATCCTAACCAACATGGCCGCTAAGTCGGATGGAGCAGCGGTGTCTGTGGACGATGACAACACGCCCAGGAGCCTGTCGGAGCCGGGGAACCCCGTGGCCCGGTCCCGCTGCACGGCCGCCGGTGGGAAGCCCTACACCCTGCTGGACTGCTGCTGGGTGCTCTGCGCCCTGCTCGTCTTTTTCTCCGACGGAGCGACCGACCTGTGGCTGGCCGCAGACTACTACCTGAGAGGCGACTACTGGTGGTTCGGCTTGACTCTGGTCTTTGTCGTGGTGCCCTCCGCTGTCGTGCAGGTGCTGAGTTTCAGGTGGTTCGTGTATGACTACTCGGATCTTAGCGGCGGGGAAGGCTCGGGCAGCGGCAGCGGCGGGAGCTGCGCGGCGGCGGCAGGCGCGGCAGGCGCAGATGCCACAGCGGGCGACGGCACGTTAAGCACCAAGGACAGCGACCAGCACGGTGGGAACGCGCCAGCGGTGAACGCCGCGAATGTTACCCCGGTGTATGCGTCCTCTGGCCCGCCTGCTGCGGCGGTGAGAGTCGGCTCCCCCCGGAGATGCTGCACCATCTGCATGTGGGTCTTTCAGACCGTGCTTCACGTGCTGCAGCTGGGGCAAGTCTGGAGGTAAGACCGCTCCGGACCGGAGGTGTGCGGAACAAGAGGGGTGTGCTCGCATCTGTGTCCACGCGTACTCTGCGCGTGCGCGTGTGTGCATGCGTGTGGCTTTGTACTGGATAAACGTGCGGGATGCAGACACAAGCACCGCATCCTGCACGGCTTTCTGCTCATTAAGCAGCCGAGAAATGCGTGCGTGTGCGGGTTCTCCATGTTGGTCTCCCAGCGCATGCTTCTCGGTCCGTTCATCAGCGGGTGCGCGCCCGCGCCCCGGCATATCACCGAGCTGATCTGGTGACAGAAATGTGCAGAACCCGACCAGACCGTAGAGAGATCAGATTCCTCCCCCTCTGAGCCCATTTGTCTCCCGGACCGAACCTACAGGTCCGGCTGCCATTCCTGCTGTGGCTGAGCCTGAGCAGCATCCAGCTGCTGGAGCTCCACTGGGAGCTCCTCTCTCTCCACTGCTCCCATATGTCATGATACAGATATGTTGACAGGAGCTCTGTGGTTTAACCTCCTCCTCCCTGCTTCCCTTTAAGTGGAATTATTTCTGTTGATGCTGAATGTTGCTTATTTCCCTGGAGAAAACGGCGTTTTGGGTGGGAACTAGATCCGAACTGAAAATGAAATGAGAATACGGATGAACCCAGAGCTCTGGGGCATTTCTAAAACTCCACCACTAAATTGTTGCTATTTTTAAAACGTGATGAAACATCAGAAATGCTTCAGGTCCAAACTAAATGAAGCCTTCATGTCTACAGTGTTGCCTTTCTATCTGTTGTGCAGGTACTCTTCAGAGTTTTCCTTCATCATTTTGCAGAGTTGCTCAGTTTTCTGGTTTCCTGTTTGTGCTTCACTCCTCTCTCTGGGTTTTACCTGCTGTTCGGGTTTCATTGCCATCCCTCAGATCTCATTGTTCATGTTGAGCCTCTGTATTTCTGAGTTGTTTTGGTTTGAAATCCAAAGATTACAAACTTGCACAATTTTTTGATCAGTTTGAAAGATTTACTTTTAAGATATTATTTTTCCAAGGTTACAAAACCAAACTTTCTTCACAGAGAAGGAAAACCTAACCTTGGAAAAGGGATGTTTCATTGTCAATATGGAACATGAAGCTGATAGAAATTTTAATGTGACCACCCAGCCAAACCTTATCTTGGTTGGGGGTTTCTAACCAAATTCTTTACAGAAAGCGAGAAACATTACATCCATCTGCAGAAAAAACACAAAACATTTAAAAATGTTTTAAATGAACTAGCTAAGGGTTTTTCTATCTCTCTCAACAGCTTGAGATCTCAAACCGGCGTCCTGCAACTTTTAGATGTGTATCTACATCAGTGCACCTGGATATATTAATAGGCTAATTACCAGAGCTTAATGCATGCTGAGGAGGTAATTTAGCCGTTTGATTCAGGTTCGCTGGACCAGAGATGCATCCAAACGTTGCAGGACTCTGGATAACCCCAGCCATGTTAATGCCTTAATGATAATCTGCATGTCATGCTGACCTCCTTCCTCTGCAGCTCATCAAGCTGCCTGCATCTTTTCATCAGGCTTGGAGTGCATTTCTTTATACTCCAATATTACCTGTAACACATTGAGGTTACACTTATTTAATTAAAAACAGCTCGTTTGTTAAATATGTAGACCAGTGAGATATAAAGTGATCAAATTTACGACCCAACTCTCGTCAGGAAAGGCAATGAATCCATCACAATCGAAATGAAGAAGTCAAAAAAATCCAATGTTTAATTTTATTTTTAGTGGAAAATGTCAGAAGGAGAACAGAATATTCCCATATCAAGATGCCAGCTGCATATTTGGGAGGCATAACATGAAAAAGCCATTCCTGTCCCTCGATCAACTGAAGCTTTGCTCCAATGAGACTGAGACCAAGCTTTTCAGAGGTAACATGTTAGGTGGGCTTGGCGTGAAACAAAGGATGAATATGTAGAAAATCATTTTACATGCTTCAGTCTGGGAGGAGAATAGGAACAAAACGGTTTGTGAAAAGTATTAATAAGCGGCAGGGAATGACTCTCTGGTGGTAAAACTGTAAAATTGTTAATGTTGGAGGGTTTTCTTTTCCTCAGTACTTTAAGTCCTTTATAGGTTTTTCTACATATTTTAAAATGAGATCACATTTCTTCTATGAAATTTTAATTTTAAGACATTTTACCCAATAATTGTGACATTCCTGCCCTTGGGTAGACAAGGTTGATGTTTTTCCTATTTAAAACCTACCAAAACCATTTGTTTCCTTCAAATAAAGCAGTTTTGAATCATAACCAGGAACAAAGCAGCTTCAGACAAAGTTAATCTAGCAAGTTTTCAAAATCACAATGAAGCCATTTGGCCACTTTGTCACTTTCCTCGATGATTTTGGCATCATCTGCTGCTTCAGAGCAAAGAATCAGCCTCAGACACTGGAGGCCAAAGTAACCGATCACATTTTTATGATTATAAAGCATACAAGCATCATATTTATACAAATATATTATTATTTATATTTGCTCGTCTTCTTCCACTGCTGTTCATGTGGATTTGTTTATCCAACCAGTTTATGGTTTTGCATTCGTTATGAAGGAAAAACTCTGGAGCCCAAATCTGCAAGACGTTGACAAAAGGTGGAGAAATGAGGAATATAAATAAGTGGCTCTGTCAGAAAGGAAATATATCTACTGGAGAATTAATCTGAAAAAATACAAATAACCTCACATTAACATTCAACATGAAGAAATGAATCAGTTTATAGTAGAAGTTTTTCGGGACCAGCTTCAGCTTAAAGGATTCCTCAGCTCAGGTTCAGGTTTAACAAATGAACAGTATGTTTTTGACTTATTGAAGAACAGAGAAATAACATCTGCAATATGTATGACCGAAAAACAACAACAACAAAAAACATGCTACAGCTGAATCTGTAAAGATGGAGGAAGCCAAAAACAGGATGCCATTAAATGAAGATTTGCGTTATATCAGCATATTCAAAAATAGAAGATGAGGGAGTCCTATAATCACATGCAGAGTCGGTAATGAACAGCTTTAATGAGACACAATAAGGAGCCGGGAGCCGGAGGAGTCGGGTTAAATGTGGAAGAGTGAGATTGGGCTCAGACTTTCTCTGGTTTGCAGCCTCTGTGGTTGTTCCCCTTCAGCGCTGCTCAGATTTTACTTCCTCGCTCATATCTGGGTAAATTTCCAGGTTTTTATGCATCTGTTTGCAGAGAAAAAGTCAAAGTCAATATATTTAACAGTTTGTTAGACATCATGACACAGTTTTTCAACAGTTTCAATGGATTTTGAGAGGCTTGCAGAAGTATTCACACCCTTTGAACTGTTTTATTCTCTTTTTGTAACTGAATGTTGCAGATGTTTGATTGAGTTGATGCATAAGACTGTTAGTTCCCTGCAGAAACACCAATGATTATCAGTCTGGTTTCTAGAGAAAATATTATGGCACACTAGAAATAAGACAAAAAAAACTTATAACTTTTTATGAGTAACTTGTTTCCAAAAGATTTTTCCCTAATATTGATTTAGAAGGGCACTAACTCTACTGACTGACTATTTCACTTCTAACTAGAAACATGAGTGAAACCAGTACTTTTCACCAATATTAAGGAATTATTGACTTGAGACAAGCTCCTATTTCTTGTTTAGTCTATTTTTGCCTCATTTCAAGTGCAGTAACATATTTCCAGTAGAAACTAAACCAAACATACACCTTTGAAATAAAACAAAACTAACTTTCAAGACACTTTTTAGCAAGATGTAGGAACTTGTTTTGGGTCAATAATTCCTTGATGTTGATGGAAAAATTACTGGTTATGAGATTTTTGCTGTGCGTTTCCAGGAATGCATTTTCCAAACACACACACAGAAACACACCTTGCTGTGCCAGCTGTGCTTTACCTTTTCAGACTTCTGGTGGTCGGTTAAGCTAAGCTCACTCATGCATGCTGCAGGCTCCGGTGGGGTTCGGTGTGCAGAATTAAGTCCTCATCAGACGCCGTCCAGTTGTATCCACATCAGTTTTGTGATTCTGCAAATTTGTTTGCAGTAATAAGACGCTTTGGCCTTTCTGTGTGGAGTTTATGCTCTTGCTGTGCATCCATGAGTTCTCCAATAAATTGCTCTTATTGGTGTGTTTATGATTGTTTGTGTGGTTTGCTGGTCCTTTTGATGAACTGTGATTCTGTCCTCTATGAAAAAACAGATCATCTCACCAAATACGTTGGTTAGTTTCTAGTGCAAATATCTTAATACACTTGAAAGACAACAAAACTATCTTACAAATAACTTTTCAGCAAGAAATGGATGCTAGTTTTAAGTCAATAGTTCCTAATGTTGATTTTAAAAAAGTGAGTTTCATTATCAATTTTTTTACTCAGATATTTTCCCATATCACAAATAAAATAATCTGCCAGTGGAACTACCTTTTTTTTTAATCAATATTTAGAAACATTGACTTAGAACAAGCTTCTATACCTCCCTGGAAAGTTAATTTTAAGAGTTATTATTTGAAGAGTGTTAAGATATTTTAAGCTAAACAGAAACCTTTGGTAAGACTTTGCGTTTTTGCAGTGCAGGGTGACCAGAGACTCTCTCATCGGCCATCTTCATATTTTGCCTGATTGTTGTGCCGCTGCTCGTTTCTCTCTGCTCAGATTTCCAGCCGTCAGTATTTTTGTTGTTGCTGTTTATCTAAAGAAAAGTTTTGGGTCAAGCTGTCATTTCCCTCACGCTGTTCAGCCGTCACCCTGCAGAAAGTCCGTCTTAAGAGACGCAGGCTGGTATTTTGCAGCTGCAGGAGTGAAGCGGATCCTCCGGTGCATGGAGGTGGAGGTTTAGAATCAAGGTCAACTCACATTTTCTGATTTCCAGGAGAGGCTCCGCTCTGCTGTTTATCGCCTTTTCCCATCTACATTTAAAACTCTGCTGCTGAAAGGCATCAAGGTCACATTTCTTTATCTGCGAGTGGCTTAACAGGCATCATGGGAGTTGTA